GGCCCAAGCTGCGGGCCCGAGAGCAGCCAGGGCTGCGCAGCTCCACCGCTGCCGTGGAAGGAACACCTTTGCAGAAGAAGTTAAAGAACCACTCCGCATGGCTCCCCTCCGCACCCTGGCCTTGCTGTTGAACAGGCGCAGCGTTCCTGGAGAAGCGCGGCATCTCGAACGCCGCACCTGCCGAGGCGGAGGGCCCCGGGGGTAGAGGGGAGAAGGTGGTGTTCTTTCTACCTCGGGCGTTGGTGCTGCAGAGGTTATTCCTTAAACCGCTGCCTCCCTGTGGCTGGGATGGCCCTCCGCGCTCAGACCCGCGGGCGCGCCAGTGCACCGTGCTGCCGACGGCGCCGCGGGGCCGCTCTCGCTGGGGCCGTGCTGCTCGCGGCCGCCGGCGCGCTGGGAGGCGCGGCCTTTGCGAGCCGGGGCAGCCCGGCGGGCGCCGCTGCGCCCCGCAGGGAGGCTCGGGGGCGGCCAAGTGGGGGTGGTGACTAGGGGGGGGAGGCGCTGCTCGTCGTCGTCGTCGTCGTCGTCGTCGTCGTCGTCGTCGTCGTCCGTCGTCGTCGTCGTCGTCGTCGTCGTCGTCGTCGTCGTCGTCGGCGTCGGCGTCGGCGTCGGCGTCGGCGTCGTCGTCGTCGTCGTCGTCGTCGTCTGTCGTCGTCTGTCGTTCGTCGCCGTCGTCGTGCGTCGTCCGTCGGCGTGCGTCGGCGTCCGTCGTCGTCCGTCGTCGTCCGTCGTCGTCGTCGTCGTCGTCGTCGTCGTCGTCGTCGTCGTCGTCGTCGTCGTCGTCGTCGTCGTCGCTGTCCGACACGGGGCATTCCGATCCTTTGGGCGCCTCCCCAGGTGTCGTGGCCCTTCTTCTTGTGCCGGCGCGTGCCATGGCCAGCCCCTCCCACCCCTGGTCGGGGGCTGTTACAGGTGCCCATGGCCCGAGGTGCCCCCAGCTTGTCGTTCCATTCTGGAGCACCAGGGGCTCCCTGGGCCTTGCGAGGGGGTGCTCCTGGAGGCCAGGGGGCAACTTGGGCCAGGGGGCCTTCCAGCAACACCTGACCCTGCGCCGCGCACGTGTGTCGGGCCATGATATGCGAGCGCCGTCGCCGTCATCGTCGTCGTCGTCGGCGGCGGCGGCGGCGTCGTCGTCGTCGTCGTCGTCGTCGTCGTCGCCGTCGAAGTCGTCGTCCGTCGGCGTCGTCGTCGTCTTCGGCGTCGTCGTCGAAGTCGTCGGCGTCGTCGTCGGTGTCGTCGAAGTCGTCGTCGTCGTCGTCCGTCGTCGTCGTCGTCGTCGTCGTCGTCGTCGTCGGCGGCGTCGGCGTCGTCGTCTTCGTCGTCGTCGTCGAGAGGCGCTGGGCGGCGCGGCCGCGGCCCTGCTCGGCGCCGCGGGGCCGCGGGCAGCCCGGGCGGACGCTGCGCCGGAGGAGGGGATCCAGGCTCGGCGGCGAGCGAGAAGGAGGAGAGGAGGAGGAGGAGGAGGGGGAGGAGGAGGAGGAGATGAGGAAGAGGAAGTAGGAGGAGGAGGAGTAGGAGGAGGAGGAGGAGAAAAGGGGAGAGGAGGAAGGGTAGGGAGGAGGAGGGAGGAGGAGGAGGAAAGGATGAGGAGGAGGGGGGAGGAGGGAGGCGGAGGAGGGAGGAGGAGGAGGAGGAGGAAGAGAAGGAGGAGGAGAGGAGGATGATGAGGAGGGAGGAGTAGGGGGGAGGGAGGATTATTACGACTTCACCGATGCAGAACACATGATGGTATTTTATTTGGAAGGGTTTTGGAGTGTTTTAGTTCGTGTAGTGGAGGATCCCTGGTCAGCGGGATTTGTGTGTTTTGTGGGGGTGGGTTAGGTTAGGGAGTCGGTACGAAGTATTCACTTCTTGGTTATTGTCTGAGTTCTTTTATTGTTTTTTAGTCATGAGTAGTAAGGAGTGATGACAAGTAGTGTGTGCAGGATTGCGGTTCCGAAAGCGAAGAGTGCGTGTTTTTCTGTCTTTCTTCTCTGCGGGCCTGTCTTTCGTGTCCTCGGGCCCCAGGGCCCCCGAAGTTTGATCTGGGGTAAAAAGCCGCGTCGGATGGACCACCGGGGAGGGTTCCAGGGACCGATCTTGACCGATATTCGGCGGCGCGCCCAGGGGGAAGTGAGAAGGATGAGGTCTTCAAGGCGGCGGGACTTCTCAGAAGCCCTCGCGACTTCTGAGAGGTCTTTTCGGTGTCTTCGGGGAAAGCTTAAAGCACTTCATAGAAGGCTGGGTGGGGGGGTAGGGGGAGGGGGGAAGGCTTCTTAGAAGCGCTCGCCGCTGACAGGCGGCCGCGAGCCGCGGCAAGTTCGTGCCCTTGATCAGGGAGGGGTACAAGGCGCTCGTCGCCGCGGGCAAGGTCGAGGACGCGTGGGTCGAGGACAAGCTGCCTAAGATGGCCAAGAGCATGGAGATGTGGGCCGGACTGATGCGAACGGACGTGGCGTCGATCGGTGCAGTCGATCAGATGGCCTTCAACAACCTGATGCCCGACAAGACGAGCAAGCGCCTCGTCCAGGAAGCCAAGGATTTCAAGAAGCTTGCCAAGTCCAGAGACTACGACGGAGCCGTGAAGGCGTTCAAGACGTACCTGGATGACCTTGCCACTACCCCTGGCAAGATCGACCTGTGAGCTCCTCGGGTGTTCGATCATGAGGAGGAGGAAGAGGAGGAGGAGGAGGAGGAGGAGGAGGAGGAGGAGGAGGAGGGAGGAGGAGGAGGGAGGAGGAGGAGGAGGAGGAGGAGGAGGAGGAGGAGGAGGAGGAGGAAGGAGGAGGGAAATCAGGAAAGGAAGGAGAGAGGAGGAGGGAGGAGGAGGGGGCCGCCCTACCTAGGCCCTGGAGCCTGCCGGAGGACCGCGCGGGAGCCCCGCCTGAGGCCGTCGAAGACCGCCAAGCAGGCCGCGGGCCTCCCCGAAGAACCGCCGAAGGCCGATGGCCCGCCGCCAGGACATCTCCTGATTTCGTAATAAAAGGGAGGGGGTCTGGACCCTCCAAGACAGCCATTTCAGACCCCCCCCCGTGGGAGAACCCTCCAAAACATCGTCCCCAGACCCCCCCAGGCCCTCCAAGATAGCCTGGAAGAGACCCCCCCCCCGAAATGAGACCCCCTCCCTTTTATTACGAAATCTGGAGTATCCACATCCACCGCTCCGGAGTCGGACGGACATGCGGCTGTGGACATCGAGGAGTTGTGGATGCGGATGCCTTCGGCGGCGAGCGAGGGGGGAAGCGAGAAGGAGAAGGCCTTCTCAGAAGGCTAGGAAGCCTCCCGGCCGTCGGAGAAGTTCTCTGAGGCTTCCCCGAAGACGCCAAACCAAAAACTTCTCACAAGGCGCGAGGGCTTCTGAGAAGTCCCGCGGCCTTCTGAGAGGGCCTTCTCCTTCTCACTCCCCCCCTCGCTCGCCGCCGATATCTGCCCGCCCCTGGGGGGGGGGGGGGGAACTCCCGCGTCCACCGCTGCCCCGGGGACCCAGGGCACGGCTCCAGGATCTGTTGGCGCATGCGTTCCCTGGCGGTGCAGGCTCCGACATGCGACGTCGCAGTTTCTGCTTGACCCGGGGCCCCAGACCTGTCGACCCCTCTCACAGGGACAGCTTTTCACCCCCCGTTCCCTCTGCCGACGGCCTCGGGGCCTAAAGCGGGCCTCCGGAGGCCGAAGTCCCCTAAAGAAGCTCGACGTTTTTTTGTTCTTGTTTTGTTTTGTTTTGTTTTGTCTTCTCTTTCCAACGCGCTAGAGGTCTGGATCCTGCGATGTCCCCAGAGAAGGGGGCTTCTGGAGGCCTCCAGAGGTCCTTGAGGCTTCATGAAAGGCCCCAGAGCGCACAGGCGCCGATCCTCGATCCGACTGTCCATCCTCGATCCTCGATCCTGGAAGCCACGTGGTGCAGGCTGTGCTGTGCAAGCTGCGTGGTGCCATCCACGTGGTGCAAGCTGGCTGTGCCGCGCGAGCTCCAGTCAACCCGCGTAGTAAGGACGGGCAGTCTTCCCAAGGGCACCCTTGCGTCCCTGCCTCCTCGGTCCACCCTTTGCCACTCTCGTCGGCCGCGCCCCGCCCGGAGAGCTCCGAAAGGGGCGTCCAAGGCCCCTGCGTCCTTATCGCGCATCCTCACTACACGGTTTGACTCCTCACTGTGCAAGCTGTGCGTTGCACGCCGTGCGGTGCGGCCACGACGCCGGCCACGACGGCGGCCCCGCGGCGGGGCTTCCCGAGCGCACGCGGCGGCCACGCGCCGGCCGCGGGCGGCCACCCACCGGGCAGCGGGCGACTCCCCGGCACGCCCCGCTTCTGGCGCGGCGGCCCCGCGCGCAGCGGCGGGGCGGAGAGCCACCGGGCGCGCTCTCCACTGCTCGCAGAGTGCCTGCTCGCAAGCGCCCGAGAAGCACGTGCTACCCTCGATGTGATTTCTCGTGTGTCCCCCGCGGCGGGTCCAGGCCATCTGCGAGTAGCCACTCTGCGAGTAGCGGGGCGCGCTCGTCCAGAGAAGGACGAAGAGCAGCAGACGAAGGGCCCGTGGTCGAACGCGTGCAGCCTTTTCAATGCGGAGGCGCGCGCCCCCAGGAAGCGGCCTTTCCTGGGGCGTCGCGGCCGCGCCCCCGGCCTCCGAGGGAGCTGCCCAGGTGGCCCGCGCCGCGCCTGGGCGGCGCCATGCCTCGGCTGCGGAGCGTGGCCCCCCCCCCTGCGGCGAGAGAGGTCCCGGAGGGAAGGTGGCCCGGAGCCGCGGGGGGGTCTCCCCGCGGTGCCTGGGCGCGGCGCCCTCTTCTTCGTCCTCTTCCGCTCCGGCGGCCGCCTCTCCTTCCTCTGCCTCCTTGGTTTCCGCTCCTGCTTCGTCTCTTTCCTTCCTTCCTGCTGCTCCTGCTCGCCTTTCCTCTCCGCCGCTTGCGCTTCGTCTTTCTCCTCCTCCTCTTCCTCTTTCTCTTCCTCTTTCTCTTTCTCGTCGTCCTCCTTTGAAGAGTCAGGAGGAGGAGAAAGAGAAGGGAGAGGATGATGAGGATGAGGGAGAAGAGAGGAAGGCTGGGGGATGTTGGAGGAGAGGGGGGGAAGTAGGAGCACTGAGAACGCAGCTGCTGCTGCTGCTGCTGCTGCTGATGATGATGATGATGATGATGATGATGATGATGATGATGATGATGATGACGATGATGATATTGATGATCTGATGAGGATGAGGATGAGGATGTGGATGAGGATTAGGATGATGATGATGATGATGATGTGGATGAGGAGGAGTAGGGGGAGGAGGAGGAGGAGGAGAAGGAGGAGGAGGAGGAGGAGGAGGAGGAGAAAGAGGAGGAGGAGGAGGAGGAGGAAGAAGAAGAGGAGGTAGACGGCGGAGGACGTTTGGGACCGAGTCCAAGCAGTTGAGCTCACGCGAACTCAGGCGCGTCCCAGCCCGACTCGTTTCCAAGGAGAGTCGGCCCCCGCGCCGAGCCGCCCTTCCCCCGAGCCGGTCGCCCAGGGGAGGCCGGCGTCCGTGAGGCCCTGCGAGTCACAGGCCTGCCCGCGAGGAGCCGAGCCCTGCTGGGCAGGCACGCCGCCAGACGCTTCGGCCTCTCCCTCCTGGGCTCTGGGGTCCTCCCTAGCCGTGGATCCACAACATCCAGTGGGTCCACAACATCCAGCGGATCCACAACGTCAAGCGCTTCGACCAGAGTATGATGCTCGGCGAGAGTCAGGTCTCCAGGGGCCCCGAGGGGCAGGACCTGTAATATCTTTTTCCCTACCTCGGCTCTGCCTAGAAGGGTTCTTACTCTCTTAGCTTAAAGGGGCCGGGCAGTGCAAAGCGCCCCGGGCGGTTCCCCCAGTCCCCTGGGAGCGGTTCCCCCCAGTCCCCTGGGAGCTTTAGCTTTAGCTTTAGCTTTAGCTTTAGCTTAGCTTTAGCTTAGCTTTAGCTTAGCTGTAGCTTAGCTTTAGCTTAGCGTTTCGCTTAGCTTTTCGCTTAGCGTTTAGCTTAGCCTTAGCTTAGCTTTAGCTTAGCTTGAGCTTAGCTTGAGCTTAGCTGTAGCTGAGCTTTAGCTTAGCTTTAGCTTAGCTTTAGCTTAGCTTTAGCTTAGCTTTAGCTTAGCTTTAGCTTAGCTTTAGCTTAGCTTTAGCTTAGCTGTCGCTCAGCTTTAGCTTAGCTTTGGCTTAGCTTTAGCTTAGCTTTAGCTTAGCTTTAGCGTAGCTGTGGCTTAGCTTTAGCTTAGCTTTAGCTTAGCTTCAGCTTAGCTTTAGCTTAGCGTTACTGTTACTACCAATGCTGCTTTCCTAGGGGTTCCAACTCCTAGGTAGGGTCGCACTGGGATAATTTGTTCTAAGATAGGCTACCGCAGCGGATACGGTGCAATGGATCGGACAACCCCGTGGCTCTTGCCTGGGCCACCTCCAGAACAGAAGGTGCCGTACTTGCCTGCTCAATTTCATGTCGACTTCACATCGCATCGGGCATCGATGACAGAACGTGCGAGGAACGCGTGCTGGTTCACAAGGAAAACCGGACTCGCGTGAGCTTCCTAGCCCCCGTCGCCATCGCTTCCAGCATTAGCTTTAGCGAAGCTGCAGGAGCATCTGAAGGGTGAGCCTCAACGGCCTTGCATGACAGACTGTCGTCGTTGCCACCTCCGCTTCCTCCAGACTGTTGTTGGCCGCCCTTGCTGGGCTATTGCCTCGTCATTCCCCAGGAGTTTCGGGCGACGAAGTTCATACATATCCACTGCCTCCTGGGCAGGCCCATCCTGCACCCAGGAGCTGTGTATACGCCCGCCTGGCCCAGCCAGGAGGGCGCAGCGTATACACCACTGCTGGGTTCAGCAGGTGCCCGGCTAGCGAGCAGTGTATACGTGTAGTATATGTATCAGCTCCGTCGCCCTAGAGTTGGTCGATCTGCTTCTGTGCGGCCTGGACGACTTTCCACTGGTCGAAGCTTCCGGCTGCCGCGGGCACATCCTCTTCGAGGCTCCTGGGCTCCCGCCGCCCGAGGGTCCGCGAGCGCGTGCGGCCGCCTGCTTGGCTGTCGTCGCCACCCTCGCCGGGGTGGAATTGCCACAGCCTCGGCACGTGAGCCTGCAGTCGCAGCTGTGGAAGGGCCTGCACCCGCCGCGCGCCCGCAGGGGGGGGGGGAGGGTGCGGCCCTGGAGGAGCAGGGGGGCCCCGTCCACGACTGCTCCAGCAGCGCGCAAGCACGATGCCGCGCTCAAGAGCGCACTTGCAGCCCTCACTCGCTCGAGGGCAGCACGGCTGGAGTGAGGCGGAGGAGTCGGAGTGTCGGAGTCGGAAGTCTCGGCAGCTGGTTCGATGACGTCCATCGAAGGCCGGAGACTCGCTCCACAGCGAGACGATTGCTGCTGGCGGTGCAGTGGCAGGCACGGAGAGAAAGTTTGCGGGACCCCATGGCTTATCAGGCCTCGTTGGCCCGCTTTGGACCAGGGCCGAAAACCCTCGTGGTTTCAAAACGCGAAAAGACCAGGACAGTGGCTTGGGGCACTTTGGCCCATCGCCGCTGCTCGTGGGTAAGGTACGATTCGATTCACAGCTATGCTCATCGTCCTGTGAGTTTACTACTTCATATAGAAAGCACGCTCCCCCACTCTCTGCTCCAGTGCCCACACTCCACCTCCACCCAATTTCCCACACGTGACATCCCGCAGCCTAGTCGCTTCAAAAGCTCGGCTGTTCTAATGCTGTCTGCGATTGCCTGCTCCCTTAGCTGGGTTATGTTGAAGTTGTGCTTCCAGACTTTTCTGTTAGCCGACACTGGCTTACTGTTGTCTACTGTGGCCTCACTGTTGCCTGCTGTTGTGCTTACGAGTGCACCAACCTCGATCGAAGAACGCCCGGCAGCTTCCTCGTCAAGGCCGTCGGTGTGGGGGGCGCCTACGATGACCTGGTCTCCGCTGTTGGTCAGGGCCACGTGCGTCGCCTGGCGGAGGTGGTAGATAGGATGTCCTGCAAATTGGTCGGATGCATGCCCCGATTCTCGCGCTCGCTGTTGATGTTGGCCTCGTTCTATGTTGGCCTCGTTCTCGTCCGTCCATGGGCTAATCGCCAACGCGTTGAACGTCAGGCGTACTTTCCACCGCGGTGGCTGCCCCATCTCGCTGTACCCTTTCTTCACCCTGAATCAAGGCAGGATGTCGCCGAAAGAGCCTTGATGAATGAAGTTTGCCACCATGGCGAAGTGCTCGAGTGTCTCTCGATATGGTGGAGACGTCGATTTCAGGTAGGGCAGCGCCATGAAGAACGCCACGCCGATGTGGAGGTGAGGAGAGCGCATGCTGCCCTGGCCGCCTACCAGTTTCCGCGTAAGTCTTGCCTTCCGCCACGCCCCCGTCCACGGCTGTGTTGCCTCCCCTCACCAGGTAGAAGTCCCAGGTTGCCCGATAGCTGTCGTATCAGCTGCGCGTTCTTCAGGCTCATCTTCTCGATCACGACCAGCTCCCCCCCCTCCCCCAGCTCCTCCAATTTTCTCGATCACCTTGTCCGATCCATTCGATTTGCCACTGCCTCTCTTCCCCGCGCCAGCTCCTCAATGGTACTTCGGTGGTCGCTGCTCTCGCGTCCGTGGCTTGTGCCCGAGACCTCGGCCGAGCTCTTCTGCTCGCTCCTGCTCTCCGCGACACTGCTGGGGCCGCTGGCGTGGGTCCGAGCGTGCTCAAGATGTGCATCAAGCTCGGTATCCTCACGACTGCACGTGCCGCAGTAGTGCACCGTTAGTGTCTGGGACCGCAAGTCGAAGGACGTGGCTCGCGTGGGACATGTGGCTGGGGTACGCTGTGACATTTACGCGCGTGCCTCAGACAAGGTGTTCTGCTCCGGAAGGCCGTCTGGGGCGGAGGAGGAAGGGGGAGGAGGACGTTCTCTCATGCTCTCATTCTCCCACTCTCTCATCCGCTCATTCTCTCATTCTCTCAGTCTCTCATTCTCTCATTCTCTCATTCTCATTTCTTTTCTATCTTTCTTTCTCTCGTTCTCTCTTTCTCTCTCTCTCTCTCTCTGCGTGGCCGAGCCTGCGGGCCGATTTTTCCCGGTGTCTCTGGCAATAGTCTTGTCTTTAGTGTAGGGCTTCGGGCGTGCGACATTTGTGGGCAGCTCACTCCTCCTCCTCCTCCTCCTCCTCCTCCTCCTCCTCCTCCCTCCTCCCTCCTCTCCTTTCCTTCCTCCTCATTGTTCCGCCGCCGCTGCTGCTGCTGCTCCCTTCCCCCCGTTCCTCTCCGCCGCCTCCTCCTCCTCCTCCTCCTCCTCCGCCTCCTCATCCTCCTCATCCTCATCCTCCTCCTCATCCTCATCCTCCTTCCCTCCATCCTTCCCTTCCTTCCTCCCTCCCTCCATTGCGTCCCCCGCCCCGCCTTGCATGTCCAGCACATTTTCAGCCTCCAGCGCGTCGGCGCCCACGGCGTCGGCCACGCCCAGCAGAGGCGGCACGCGGCTGGTCTCTGCCGCAGGCGAAACGTTGGCCGGGCGCATCGCTTCAGCCCGGCGCGCGGCTTCTGCCCCTGCGCTCGAACTCCGCCGCGAGAGCGCCCTTCTCCAGTCGACTCGCGTCCGCTGGGTACGCCACCTCAACCACGGGGAGGCCCCCCCCCCGAACTCCGCCGCGAAAGCGTCCTTCTCCAATCGACTCGCGTCCGCTGGGTGCGCCACCTCGGCCGGGAGGCCCCCCCCCCCCCCCCCCCCAGGTCGGGAGGACCGCCCAGGCAAGCTGCCACGCCACCAGCCGCGGCGACGAGGGAGGCCGCAGCCGCGGACCAGGCGGCCGTCACCCCCGCAGTCCGCGGCCGCGGCGACGGCGCTGGCCACCCAGCGCCTTTTGGGCGCCTCGTGAGACGGACCGAGGGCCGGCGCGGCCGGCGTCGGGCCCGCGGCCGCGGCGGCCGCCACGGCACCTGCAGGGCCAGCGCGCGCTCCACCAGCTGCGCGGGCGGCCGCCGCTCGGCGCTGCCGCCGCCGCGCCGCGGCGGCCTCCCTCCTCCTCCTCCTCCTCCTCCTCCTCCTCCTCCTCCTCCTCCTCTGCTGGACCTCGCGGAGGCCGCGGCCTTGCAGGCCCCTGCTCGCGTCGCGCTCCGACTCCCGCTCCGCCGCCGCCAGTCTCAATTCCTCGATGCTGGCTTGTTGAGGCGGCGAGTCGTTGAGCTTCGCGATGAGGCGTAAGGCGGACAGACACCGAGGGGAACGCTGTGCCTCCCCCTCCTCGTCCTCCTCCTCCTCCTCCTCCTCCTCCATTCCTTCTCCTTGTAGATAACTTCTCCCCGTCGCGCCCCGAGGCCAGTGTCTTAGGGCGGGCCATGCGTTTCGCCTGAGAGTTCTTCACCATGCATATTTCTGAAGCTTAATCGTGACAACAGTTTCACAGATGGAGGGCGGGTCGCTTTCAAACTGTGGCTCTCGCCTTAGCGCCGCGCGTACTCGTTTTCAACATTTGCAAGATTTTCACGGATTGATTGCAAGAGTTTCACGGATTGAGGGCGGATCTTTTTCAAGATGTGGTTCTCGCGTTTGCGCCGCGCACATTCGTTTTCAACATTTGCAAGAGCTTCACGGATTTAGGGCGGGTCGTTTTCAAAATGTGGCTCTCGCCTTAGCGCCGCGCGCATTCGTTTTCAACATTTGCGAGAGTTTCACGGATTGTGGGCGGGTCGTTTTCAAAATGTGGCTCTCGCTTGAGCACCGCGCACATTCGTTTTGAGAATTCACAAGAGTTTTACGGATTGAGGGCGGGTCGTTTTCAAAATGTGGCTCTCGCCTTAGCGCCGTGTACGTTCGTTTTCAACATTTGCAAGAGTTTCACGGATTGAGGGCGGCTCGTTTTCAAAATGTGGCTCTAGCCTTAGCGTCGCGTACATTCGCTTTATAAATTTTCAAGGGTTTCACGGATTCCCCTGAACAGCGTACCAGAAATTGTGTTCTAGAAGGATTTAGGATTATGCGGGCGCAACAAGTTGATTCGCGGTGTTGAAGCCCCCCAAATGGCGTTCAGGCGCGATTCTGGTGCGTCAAGACGCAGCAGTCAGGTTGGTACGCTGCGTTGAAATCCCGAAGACAATGTTTTGGCACGCTTCAGGATCTTCAAACGGTGGACTTCCAACGAGGCAGTTCTCTCAAAAGAAATGAACCGCTGTAGGGGCCTACGAAGAGGGAGCTTGGAGGGAGGGTTCATTCCAACATTCTTGGGTTTACACTGGTCCTCCTCCTCCTCCTCCTCCTCCTCCTCCTCCTCCTCCTCCTCCTCCTCCTCCTCCGCCTGGGGAGGCGGGAGACACGTCGCACTCAGGCAAATTGCACCGGCGACGCCCTGCCGCGCTCGCGGCGTCCACGGTGCCCGCGGCGCCAGCCGTGCCAGCGCCAGCGGCGTCCGCGACGCTTGCGGCGTCCGCGGCGTGGGTGCCGCCCGCGACGCCCGCGGCGCCCGCAGCATCTGCGGCCCAGGCGCCGCCAGGAGCGCGTGCAGCCCAGGCGGCCGCCTGCCGCAGCTGCCGCCGCCGAGCCACGATGCTCGTCATGCAGCGCGGCCCAGCCGCGCCGCCCAGACCTCATTTGCCAACCCTGAGCCCTGACCGCAGTGGAAGGGAAGGGAACCAGGCGATGGCTTGATCCAGACGGCCCCGTACCTTCCTCCTCCGCCCTCCTCCATCCTCGTCCACCCTCCTTCTCCTCCTCGGCCCTCCGTCCTCTTCCTTCTCCACCCTCCTCCTTCTCCTCCTCCTCCTTCTCCTCTTCCTCCTCCTCCTCCTCGTCCTCCTCCTCCTCCTCCTCCTCCTCCTCCTTCTCTTCCTCCTCCTTCTTGTCCCTTGTCCTCCAGCAGGGGGGACTGGGACTGGGATGGAGGGGAGGCAGCAGGAGGGGGTGGGGGGGGGCGGGCGAGGAACGGGAATGGAGGGAGGAGGTGTAAAGGGGGCACGGGGGAGGAGGGCGAGGGAGGAATAAAGGAGAAGGACTCCACCTCTTCCTCCCCTCCCCCACACCCTTCTCCTGCTGCTTCTGCTTCTGCTCCTGCTCCTGCTTGCGACCCCGACACCGTTCCCTCTTTAAGGTGGGTGGCCACCGGGGTCAGGCTTGTGAGGGTGCCGTCCAGTCCGAATGTATCTGTGCAT